CCAGCTCTGATGATATCCATCGAATGATGGACAAGAGCTCGGCCCATTTTCACCCGAAAAAGAGGGAGGTCTCGCGGACTGTGTCGACCTTAACGTCGTATACAAGCCAAACGGATGCAGTACAACGGGACTCGTCCGTCCTCTTCTGGTGAGATCGGCCTCAGTCTCTTCTTCATGTACTTTCATACGAAATGAAAATCCCCTCACAATAGTACATCAAAAGATTCATCAAAACCCGGTTTCTCTTCGTATTTACAAAGATATGAAGAACAATATTGTGTGGTCCTAGTCTCCATTCGTTGTATAGAAGTTGTTTAACCTTATTTTCGCAACTTGATCATATTGTTAGGAAGAATTAGAGGAACCAACCTTGTCCAAAGTCCGTTGTTTGCATGATCATCTCCAGAGTCGGACCGTGGACTTGGTACATTCTCAGACGTTTCGCCGGCATCGTCAGTGAGTCCTGCCTGTCTCAGCAACCAAGCTACAACTCGTCATAGAGACAAGTGAAGTCAATCCCCTGACCAACTTTCTGCCGAGACGGTTTTGCTTTAACTCCTCGTTTTGTCCTGGTCCCTCTATCCATTTCCTACCCTCTAGTCTCGCCCTCGTCCTATCACAACTTCTGACATGTCTATGTTCCACAAGAGATGTGCCCTTTTGGCGAATTTACCGTGGCGCCATCACACTTGCTGATTGTCTTGCCACTCTGGCTTTCGAGTGGCTGATCCTGCTCTAGTCTTCTGTCCAGATCTGCCTCATGGGCCAGTAGGTCAATTTCCTATCTTTTTGGCTGGCCGATTTAACTCAGTTCCAGTCTCAGTTTACTTTTACTCCAAGTGCTACTTCTCGAGTCTTCAGTATCAGATACAAGGTCGCCTCATCTTCAGACAACCTAGGCTATGATTGCCATGCCTACGGATTCTACACATTACCTCCCTCTTGCCCCGTAGGATCCGTCTGCTCTTTCCCTGGTTTACGTATTTCACTCGACCTCTGCCACCCCATCTGTGCTACTCGAGGCGTTATTCGCCCTCCCCTGCGTCTGGGTGACTAATTCGAGGCCAAGGACTCTGAGTAAGCCTCATGGTCAAGCCTTAGCTACATGAACCACGTCTATGGTATAATAGGCCTACTGTGAGCCAACTAGTTCCAGTTTCCGCCCCGTATATCCTGTTTCTATGTGTAATACTAAGTCTATGACTTGCTATGCCCTAGTTTAGAAATTACTGTCCCAGTCTCTTGTGTGCCAACCCACAAATGTTGTGTTCCTGCTTGCTTTGATTAGATTCAATGTTGAACCACAACATCTGCGGGTTGGCACACAGGAGACCTTACTTAACTGTTGTAAACGTCATGGCATCACTCCTAGTCCCTTTAAATTTGATGAGAAAATATCATTCCGATAAAACCAAGATTCTGAGCAAAAATTATAGAAGACATATAATAGGGAGAGGAGAAAATTATTAAGTTTTTATATGGTAAATCTAGACTCAGGTATGATTTGATTTAGATTCTCACACCGGAGGATTTCCTGAAAGAACAGGTGATGGACAAAATGGCGAAAATAATATCAGACTTAATCTAAAAAAGGCACCATAAGAAGCTGAATAAATATGATTTATGAATTCAGCCCAAAGTCCTACCATCTGGAAAAACTAAAGATGCATCTAGGCTGATGGATTTCAAAGTCCAGACAAGAAATGAAGATAAAGTAGTGAATCCATCTTCCGTCCCCCTCGACCTGGAAAGTACAGAAATCCTCCAGAAGGGACTAAATTTTGCACTTTAGAATGAGAGGAAGGCAATCAAGGACATTTTAGTGGAGATGATAATTATATCTGAAAAGTTACTTGAAAAATAAAAAGGAGATGGAAATGGGAATCATCCCAACAATTTTGGCATATCAAGAACCCACACAGGGGCAATATAACCAAGATATACACATAAATAAAAAGGAACGAGGAAATATTCCTACAAGCAGACAACGGAGGTGCCACTGTGGTGATGGACAGGAAGGAATATACAGAGAGAATGGAAAATATTCTCGGGAACAGGTATCAACTACTAACAAAATATCCAACAGTTAAAACCCAATGAACACTACAAGAAATGAATACTAACGGGGAAATCGACAAATGGACAATGAAATCACTTATAAGAAAGGATGCAAGAGCCCTAGTAATATACGGTTTGCCGAAGGTACACAAAGAAGGAGAACCATTGAGACTGATAATCAACAACTAACATGGACCGACATAAAAAGTGGCGAAAGTTATCTCCCTCAAATTAAAGAAAGTGAATGACAGATTATCGAATACAGTGAAGAACTCATGCGAATTTTGCCAAAGAATAGAAAACGCAAGGTTGGAAAGAAACGAACTATTGGTGAGCTTTGATGTACAGTCCTTAAGTCGATTAATCAACCTAACAATAAGAACGACCTATTTCACGTTCAACGGCCGCATCTATGAGCAAATATTTGGTCTGTCTATTGGCTCAAACTCTCACCTCTGTTGGCTGATATCTTCATGGACAAATTGGTGGATTATTTCAAAATGTCACCCCAGCAGCCAACAATAATTATGCGATATTCGGATGACTACTTCGCAATTTGGTCGCATGGAAGAGAAAAATTAGACGATTTCCTGGCCTTCATAAACGAAATGGGTGAAAAATTCAAATTTACGATTTATGTGGAAGAGAACGAATACTTACCGTTCATGATGTGGAGGTCATTCGCTCAGAGGAAACTCTCAAGAAAAAACCTTTCCGAAAGAAATCACATGCTGGAATAACTCTTAACTTCCAGTCGAGCCATACTCATTGGATGAAGATTGGAATACTCCGAAGTATGATCATAAAAAGCCCATGACTCACTGATTCTGCGTTCTGGGAAGAAGTGGAAAAACTAACTCAGATGCTTATTGGAAACATGAAGAAGTCAACAAAATGGAGTGCTCCGGAGCTTACAGCATAAACTGTAAGGACTGTGAACAAAATACATTAGATAGACTGGAAGTAAAATCAGCACAAGGATCAAACACCAGCGAATATGCAGAAAAATGGATACGGAAAGATCGGAAATAACTGAACACATTGCCATTACCGGCCACACAATTGATCGGAATGCAACGGAAAGAGTGACCTCATATGGGGAAAACACCAGGAAACGGAAGATCGAAGAGGTTGTGAACATCCTCTTCTAAAGAAACCTGACGAACAAGAGATTGAAAGAGGGAAAAGTCAGCGATAATTTCGCGTATTGTCTGAGCAGACTTGGAGATTCAACAAAAACATCAAAAAGAAGAGGCTTGGACCCAGGACAATTGTTCAACAATAGGAAGAGGCATCACCAAGGAGCGGCTCATGATGAACAAAGGGATGTCAAGACAAGGTGACTGCAGTGAGAGGAATCGGACATGGAATTGGCCAAAGATTTACCCAGGGGGTCCATCTATGAGATGTAGGATAAGAAAGTAAACGCTAAAGGTATATGTAGGCTAGATAGAGGTCACCAGTGCGTGTCATGTGTATTTTTCGTATCTGTGTCGGGAGGGGAGCCTGGCTGATGACAGGCTTGATCATAGGGGGATACCAACCAACACGCGAACACACAAAGTGATATCATCCCAGTAGCCTAGGATTAGATAAGAATGTCAACTTGAGAGACGAGGGGAGTGTGTTTTTCGTGATTCAAAGGAGAAAAATAGGAGCGATGCATTCTCACCAGCGATTATGACTTAAGCCGGACACAGAGCCCCTGAAAATGAGACAAAATGTGGGTGGGGATGACGGAGAGGATAATTGAGTCATGGCTTTGAAGCCCAGGTAGAATAAGATTCCCAGGCATTGACATGTGCAAGTGCATGGACATCATCTGCTCTAAATCCTAGAATATGGCGTAACCGAGGACGGGAATATAAGGTTCTCATGCAGACAGATCCGGGAGGTTGTGGACATCCTCTTTCAAAGAAACTGATTTTGATGTTCAACAGCAACCAAATGACAAGCGAGTAGGCAAAGAGCGGGGCAGATTGCTGGCCAGGAGGCCTGCAAACGGCATCTGGTACCGGTGGTGGAGATGATTACGCTTCACTAAGCCTACTTGTAGCGACACACTCGTAGGCGTAATTGGAGGAAATGAGAGCACAGTTTTGTATGAATAAGTGGATGGGCCATGTGAAGTTCGGTTGAGAGAAAGAGATGCGGCACTAGAAGATAGAGCAAAAAATAGAAGCGAGTGATGCCACAACGGTTAAACAGAAAATTAGTCAAGGGGATTGCCTTCA